TTTCAACATTCCATGTTAACGTTTTTTAATAGTTGGGGATCAAAAACAATTGAGTAATTAAGATAAGATAAGATATACTTTATTGTCCCCGAAGGGAAATTTGTTTTGGACTCTGTCCGTTCTGCAGCTTTACAAGAACAATACAACACAAAATACAGAAATAAAACATCTCTCACACATATTCTCATGCAACACAACACATGCTGTCGTATACATTTGACAGTTCCCTATATAGTAGCACATTGACTCCTTCTTCCAATGCCAGTTTTGATTGAATAACCCTGTCGGCTGCATTCCCGCAATGTAGCACAACCCTTCCACAATGAGATATTGCACACCCCTAATAGCTTATGTATTGCACAAATGACATATTGCACAACCCCTATAGCCTACATATTGCACAAATGACATATTGCACAACCCACCTAGCCTACGTATTGCACAAAAGCGCAATTATAGTAGTATTTGTGACTTAGGCAAAACAGAATTTAATGAGAAAAGAAAAAGACAGTGATACATTCCGATTTGAAAGATGTCACATACTTATTCTACACATAGTAGCTTTTAAGGATTAAAAAAAGGTAATCATCATGGTTTAAAAAAGTCTGACACAGGACACAAAATCACTTTGCAGCATCAAGGTTAGATGACCTACATTCATCTACATCTCAGACCTCTACACTTTTACTTTTTGTCATGGTACATAAACTGCACACTCTCAGCTGCACAGTAACACAGTAATGGCATTGGGTGTAAATCTCACATTGCAGAATTGTCCCATATGAGTCTAATTTCTTGGAAGGCTGGCTTTTGTTTTCAGGTTAGTCTGCGAAAGGCTACCTTTTAAGTAAAATTGTCCTGCTATGCCTGAATGACCACCTGAGTTTGTGGGAGTTTTTACAAGGGAGTGATGAATTTCCTCAACCCTTGGAGAAGCATGTTATCCTTTAATCTGTAATCAACAAAACTGGAGTTACCATTGTTACCGTTGTACAACAAACAATACTGTAGCTAGGCATAATGAGAATAAACAGATAAAAGATACAGTCATCCATGGGTACACATTTTATTGGCTGCTATGTGTGAAATAATGACAAGTTGGTGCAACTCTAAAGCTATAAAGAGATCTAAAATAACAAGTTCTTGAAGTGAGACTAAGAAACTTTTGAAAGATGAAACAGCACATTCTTACGAACAAAAGTTGTAATTCTTAACCAATAAATAGCACCTCTGCTCCATTCAGTACAGTCAGTTGTTTTGCTGCTTCAGCCTTACTTGGCCTGGTATGACCATTAACTTATGGTCATTAATGTTGGCAAACTTTACGGACAAACTTTATGACTCATCTCTTCTTGTGCTACTATTACTCCAGGGTTTGCCATTTATCTTTAGCCTGTTAAACTGACAATGAAATAAACAAATACAGGAAGAGAGAAACAAAGAAAGACAGAAACAAATAAAAAAGCAAAGAAAGGAGCCTCTACTACTCGACAATTATCATCCAATTCACACTTTGGCTGAATGCAAAAAGATAAACAGATTTAATGGCCTAATCATTCCTATGCCCTGATTAAAAACAGTTACTATATAATTGGAGACCGTGATGACTTATTTGACAGTCATGGCTGTCACGAAAAATTGAGTGAGCGTTAAATGCGTAAGTGAGAGAGAAGGAGACAAGGACAGAACAACAAGCTCGAAAGAAGGATCGGAGAGACAGTGAGTCAGAGCCGCTGAAAGACAAGAGTCAGCAGAGAGAAAGAGACGTGCAGAGATTGCTGCTCATTCATCCAGTCTCACGAACAACAGAGTTACAGACAGTGAGACAGACGAGGGAGACAGGGAAGAAGAAGAGAAAGCGAAGCAAACTGAGGAGGATCTTGTTCGGCAGATAGATCACAGCAATACAGATCTATTTACAGATTAGTAATAGTTCTGACTGTGTGCGTGTCTCTCTGTGTGTGCATGTCACCCTCTGTGTGTGTGTGTGTGTGTGTGTGTGTGTGTGTATGTGTGTGTGTATGTGTGTGTGTATGTGTGTGTGTGTGTGTGTGTGTGTGTGTGTGTGTGCACATACTGCAGGAACCAGTCAGTCACACTTACACAGGTACCCGCAATTACACACAAACACACACAAGAAACATACCTTTCCCTGGTTATCCTTATATCCCCTGAGCAGAAAGCTGCACATTTGTTGTTGATTGGCTGTGATAGTGGTGTATTTTATTATAGCACGTGTTTTTTGCACCATCTACAGGCCTAGGTCTGAATACATGCTATTCATTTTTATTCTAAGCATTTTAGGGATTGAGCTGCATGCATTCATTGCAACTGCAGAATGAATATGTTGTAACAATGAAAAAAAATATTAAGTTAAATGATTTATCCATCTCATGAACCAATGAATAACATACTGTATCTATCTCGATCTGCTCTTCACATCTTGCAACCTAAAGTCACCTTAAGGGAATCTTTCATCAGCCAACTTGGAGAAACACCACACCAGCCTCCCCCCACCAAAAAAACCCCCAAACAATTGAGGCAATTGATACAGGAACTGGAGTGATAAGGTCTCAAACAGACAGTTATATTTAGAGGTTTTTAACAAGGTGCAGCAACTAACTTTACAACACAATGCATTGTCTTCATGCAAAAAAGAGGAGGCACAGGCAGTGAAGACATTTGAATTGCCTGCCTCTCATCAGATGATCATAAAACATGTATGTGTTATATTATGTGTTCATAATGTCCCCTGCTCTAGGGGATGTGGAAACATTATTAATACCTAAAAATGTCCGGGTGGATCCAATCATATTCTTCAGCAGCGGTTACCTGCACTGTCCAAAATGGTAAATGTGTGTTTTGGCAAGAGAAGTGAAAGATTCTGCAGGAGACATCAAGGGGCTCACCGAAGATGAAAAATTACCAAATGACGAGTGATCATATTACCTTCATGTATATACATTATACATATACATGTTTGTGGTGTTAATCACAGTAGCAGTCAGTTTCTCTGACATGACCAGAGAGTAAATTTGCTATCAAGTTTGCTGAGCCTGACAGTAATCACCATGGGAGGACTGAAATCATGAATACATTCATATTTAATTATTTACTGTCTCAACAAAATGGGTGAATTATTTTTCCCGCATCACAATGAACTTGACTGATTCCTTCAGTAACTCAAGAGGGCTCAGTTATGAGATGAAATTTTAATGGTCTTTGTGGGAGTCTTTTTCAAAATGAAAAAGATAAAAAAAAACACACAAAAAAAAACAGAAATGGCACACAGCTACAACACAATAAAACAAAAATCAGTGCTTGAACATAGAGGTACAGGAAGGCGCGTCAGCTCACTAGAGACGTGTTGAGTGTTGTTCAATTGGATACGTCATTTAGCCTTCATCCTTTGCCTTACTGCTGCTTCCAGTAAGCTGTTGACACCAGTCTGATCATCTTGCCTAGCACTGTACTGGAAAGAAAAGTGCACTGACCATGAAAAATTAATAGAAGTATGTTGCATTATGTTGAAACACCTGAGCCTCAGGAGGAACATGCTGCTCTGCCCACCCTTGCACTCTACCTGTTTGATGTCAAATCATCAGTTGTTTATGAGATTTTCCATTATTGGACTGCACAATTTCTACCACTTACACGTCCTTCCTCTACTGGCTTATCAGTTGCAGGATAATACTACATTAGAAGCACAAAGTAGAGACAAAAATAGCTCCAGACAGGCTGCATCCATTTTACATGTATATTTCTATATCATCTATGGTGAAAAACAGTCAGGAGGATGCTGTACAGATTGTAAAGCCCCTTGAGGCAATTTTGTAACTTGTTGTATTGAGCCATGTAAATAAAAAGACTGACGCGCTCTCCAGATGAATCCAAGGAGCCATGTAACAGACTCCACAGGGACAGCAGTAAACCTCCCTTGGGGGGAAACAGAGGACAATGTACTCAATGCACAATTCAAGAGATGTCATAATTATTATTGGCAGCAGTGGCATGAAGGATCCTTAGGGAGAGGCCGTGAGCGCATGGATCATTTGGTCCAACTAACTAACTTGTTTGAATGTAACTGCCAATCGTATGAGTTGGTCGACACAGATCAGCTGATGGCTGGCATGGGTGTGCTGCTCTGCCTGAACTAAGGCCAGAAATGCACAGACCGTCTCAGACATAGATACCCATTATTGTTGCCGTTTGAGGGACTGTACAAAATGACTGGGGTGGGGAGGAGGGCTGAAACAAAGCAAGGCCCTCCCAGTTTTATTAATATTTTTTTGAACCCTCTCATTGACTTGAGGAAAAAGCAAAAGCAATAACTTCCCCCCTAATTTCAAAATAATATATCAAATTCTGACATAAAATTGTAAAATATTCTAGCCACTACCTATTTATTAATAAAGAGCTGCTTAATAAACAATTAATACAGCCAGGCTAAAGCTCTGGTGCTGCTGGTCTACATACAGAAGTTATCTTTTTGATTTTATTTATTTATTTATTTATTACAATAAAATGAAAGACTGAAATAAAATATAAATCTAGGATGAGAACTTCCCAAAAAACTCTCTTTAACAAAGACAAAAAATACATAACTCGTATAAAGTGCTGAGCTGTGTTGTTAACAGACTGTAAACTATACTGAACACGGACAATGATCATCAATTCCACAAGAACTATAAAGCTCTGGGAAAAGTGCTGTATTTTAAATGGGAGACTTTATGGGAACTCTGCAATTAGACAGCCTCAACCAATTAAATCTGCTCATGGATCAAGCTGTTCTAACCTTTAATCTGCCGCAGTGCTCTATGCAGCAGCTGTCTGACATATGAAGACCGTGAGAAGTCATATTTAATTGTAAGCATTGCTCTCAGTTATCTATCGACTGGGTGGGAGTTGGGTTGGGTAACTGAGGCAGTCACTCCCCTCCCATTGCTGCTCGCCAAGATAAGAGCTGAAAAACCACAAATGTGTCAGACAACACCCCAGTTCACCCTTCGCTTCAAGGACTCGTATGACAGTATTTTTCAGTTCTCTGTGTTTTCAGTCTGTAAAAAAATCAATCATTAAAATTAAGCCTTACAATATACAGGAACGTCAGTGCATGAAAATGTCTTTTAGCAATAAGAAGTTGGAAGAGGATGCGAGTGGCAGTCACAAAAGGAGCAAAAAGAAGCAAAAGAAGGACGATGCCTGGAGACCAGAAGGACCCAGGGACCCATTTGCCGTGGTGTGTGTCTTTGCGTGAGCGCACACATGCAGTGATGAATGTGTGCTGGTTTGTGTTTGTGACAATGTGAACTCTCATAAACTTTTCCATGGGTGAATCGTATGCATGTCACACATGAATTGAAAATGATCAATTCTATTGAAATGATCGGTTTTGACTGTAGGGATCGAGCTGCTGTGTGAAACTCAAATCTTCTCGAGAAAGATTATATAACTTGTCCTTGTTTGTCTTTTCCTGTCCTAGCTGGACTCTCTTCCTGAGAAGAAGCAGCAGGAGATCCAGAGAGCCCTCCACCTCTTCTCCTTGGGCCCAAATCTGCCAAAGACCCTGCAGCAGGCCAAAAAACACACATACCAGTTCTGGGACACACAGCCTGTCCCCAAACTGGGTAAGAAGTCATTCCTCTTCCAGCAATTATATGCCAGAATACTCTAAAAACAAAACATTGGCTCAAACTTTCATTGAAAGCAAAACTTGCTTATTTGCAGGAGAATATGATGATAAGATTAACACACATATGTCATATATGTCCTTTAGATATTGGGCTACAGCTAGCAGACGGTAAACTTAGCTTAGCACAAACATTTTATTTTATTTTTTACCTTGGACAGTGCCAGGCTAGCTGTTTCCCCTGATTTCAGTCTTTGTGCTAAGTCACAGTAAGCACACCAGCTATCATATTTAACAAACAAACATTAGAGTGGATCAATCTTTTCATTATTTACCACAATGTTGAGCTATAAAGAAACACCTATGATTCACTTTGCACCAATACTGCATACGATTCTTCTTTTGATTATTTTGAAACCTACATTGTTCAGCTTTCATGTGCAGTTATGTTTTTATACAAAATGGTAAGAAGATGCCCTATAATCCTATTGAAGCCATTATAAAAAAACATTATAGAGCAGCCCTATTCATTTTAAAAAGTCATGAGTCAAGTAAAGTCAAGTATATACCTCATTCACTATAATTACGATATTGATAAACAAGTTTTATATACCTTATTTTGGTACAAAAATGGTTTAATCTTTATTCTGTCCTCAGGTGACAGTATTGTGACTCACGGTCCAATAGTAGAGGGTGAAACCAGTGTGCGAAAGGAGCCCTACTCTCTGCCTCAAGGTTTCTCCTGGGACACTCTGGACCTGAGCAGCCCTATGGTGGTAAGTAACTGTATGTAAGTTACTGTATGTACATCATTAGAAACTGCAACCTGTCAAATTCCAGTCTTTCAGAAGTAAGGAGCTTTACTGTATTTTAGAGTAAAAGTTGCAGTTGGCAATCTTTTCTTAGTGTGAAGTTCATTAAAAATGGATGCAAATTTATCATTTCCATCTATCATCTTAGATGAGAGAGCTATGCACTCTACTAAATGAGAACTACATGGAAGAGGATGACAACACCATCAGATTTGACTTTTCTCTGGAGTATCTGCAATGGTAAGCTTCGAACAGCTGCATTCAGTCACTTTTGATTGCTATATTTTGAGTGTATATGAGCAAAATTTTCTTTTTAAACCTTTTATTAGTGGATACTGACTGAGATGTGATCTTCTTAAAGCAGTAGCATTTGGGAAATTTGCTTATTTTATGGGTGGTTATGTGACTATTTCTTGGCAGTGAGCTGTTGTCAGGCAACCAGAAGTCAAGATTTTAAGTTCTAAGTCAAGTCTAGTAATGAATGAAATACTTACTTACTGTCTCCTTATACAGTATTGATATATTTCAGGGAAGATATACATTTGTCATTTCGCTATTACGGTGTACCGCACATTGGAGAATTCTGATAAACACCGAGTCATTGATTATTCAAGCAGTTCATTTAAGTGCATCAAGGAGGCGGGGGCATTTCTTGAAAAACTAAATTACATATCTAGAATTGCTTTACCAAAAACAGGTGGGCAGGCAACTAGCAGAGACTCCAGGAAGTTACTGTGCCTAGCCAAGGAAGAGTCCAGCAAATATCCTCCACAAATGGCAAATAGTTATAGTTATTACACTTTAGTTTTTGTACTGAACAAGACATAATATGTTGTTTAGTAACTTTAGCGGTGCTGGTAGGTGCTGGACATAGCCAGGGTAGCTCTTTACCCCTGTTTACAGTCTTTGTGCTAAGCTAAGCTAACCAGCTGCTGGCTGTAGCCTTTTTTTAATGCACAGATATGAGGTTGGTATCAGTCTTCTCAACCAGCTCAACTGCAAGAAAGTGAATAAGCATATTTCCCAAAATGTCAAACTATTCCTTATATAATTTAATTAAACTGCTCAGTAAAACTGCAACATATTTCTTTTAGCCTCTGGGTTATACTAAAGGAATTAAGGTGTTGAGAGCCTCAAAAGGACAGCATCATTTTTCCCACTCGACTTTCCAGCCTGACCCACCAACACGCCGTTATCAGTTACAAGCTTGCTACTCTAATCTCTTTACTACTGGCTTTTTCCACTGTGATCTGCATAAATGGTACCTCTACCTTCAGGGAACACTTCCATCAAAACATAATAACATTTACTTTAAAATGAATAATTAACATTAAGATTCCAGGAACAGTCTCAGATCTCTGGGACAGAAGTTAAAGAAAGCTGCTGCATTCATTCAGCCAATGCACAGTTCTTTTATTGGAACTTGTCCTTGATCAGATTTATTGAACTACCCCTACATTTATTCACAGAGTCTTTTTGCAGACACTGTCATTCTTTTCCTCTTCAGGGCTTTACAACCTCCTAACTGGCTGGCCCAGTGGCACTGTGGTGTGCGAGTAGACACCAATAACAAGCTCGTCGGCTTCATTGCTGCTGTTCCTGCAGATGTTCGCGTATATGAGACGTGAGTAGCTCATAAACATGTGCAAAGATACGTGTTGTGTGAAATCTGATGCCAACAAAAGTGTAGCAATTTTCCTGTAAATGTCTCAAAGCAAATGCTCAAAGTGTGTTCTGCAGGGAGAAGCGGATGGTTCAGGTTAAATTCCTGTGTGTTCACAAGAAGCTGCGCCTCAAGCGGATGACTCCAGTTCTGATCCGAGAGCTCACCAGACGGGTCAACCAACAGGGCCTCTACCAGGCTGTCTACACAGCTGGCATAGTGCTGCCCACGCCACTAAGCTCCTGCAGGTAGTAGCTGCTACACAGTGTTGCTTCACACTTGACTTAAAGGGAAGCCACAATTTCCACTTTTACAGCCCCTGAAAAAATAGTTTCTCAGCACGGCTTCTTAACAGCTGTGGGGTTGCTTGCCTGTGCTGCCAGGCCACTGTCAGTCACATCTGATCAAAGCGCACCCACCCAGCCCTGATGAAGCAGACTGGCTTAATAAGTCATACCCATAGACTTTTTTAAAGATTTTACTTTAGTAAATGTGCTTAGTTAGTCAGGATTATTTAACGTTACAAAGAAATAATTAAACCAAGGTTCTTAACACAGTTAAATTAAATAAAACATGACATGTATCTATGTGGTTGTGGGTGTCACTCTGTCTCACTGATTAGCAAACATGCAGTCTTTGTGTTTATTCTACATATATTCATTTCGTCCAAACTGGTATGTTACAATGGGGGCTACAAATTAGCTTCTCTTAGCTATCCCATACATAAAATCTTTGGTATTTCTCTTATGAAGCAATGTTTATATTCCCTCAGTCCCTACCAAATAAACAAACTAATTATTTTAGGTACTGGCACCGTCCTCTGAATACCCGAAAGCTGACAGAGGTGGGCTTCCCAGGGCTGAGACAGAACATGATGAACCTGCAGAGAGCTCTGAAATTCAACCGTCTGCCTGAGGTTAGTTTGTGCTGCCACCTAGAGGAAAAAAAACATTTGTGCCATTACAGTCTGACATTGGCTTATTGCAGAATTGACAAGTGGCTGAAAAAACACAAAATATTTCAACTTAATCTGATTTTAATGATCAGACATTTGTGGTAACAGGCATCCTTATACTGAAAATGTCTTGCCTCCTCTATCACCAAGGTGACAAAGACATCAGGTCTGCGCCCTATGACTAAAGAAGACACCGTGGGGATACAGTCTCTACTCCAGGCGAACCTCCGCAGGTTTCACCTCAGCCCCATCTTGTCTTTGCAGGATGTTGAGCACTGGCTGTTGCCGAGGGAGAATGTGATTGACAGCTATGTTGTGGAGGTCAGACCTTACCATTTGTCAACTTTCAGCTGTCTCTATTTCTAATTTCTTTGGAGAGGGAAGAGAAAGATTTTAGCTCGCGTGATGCTGCAGTAGTTAAGAATTGATTAACCCCCCCTCCTCACACACAGAGTGATGATGGGACTCTGACAGGCGTGGTGAGTTTCTACAGCGTCTCCTCCAGGGTGCTGAATCACCCGGTCCACACTGGCCTGAGAGCGGCTCATCTCCTTTACATTGCCTCTACTGCCACTGACCCAGTCAACCTCATGGAGGACATGTTGGTCCTGGCTAAATCTGTGAGTGTGTCAAACAATAATCGCCTTAATTTGAAAAGTGCACAAGTTCAGCTTTGATGTCACAGAGAAACCTGCATTTAACTTTGGACATTCCCTCCAAACTATATACATGCAGTCAAATGACCCATATACTGTAAGTGTTATTAAAATCAGTAGTTTTTTAATAGGTGTACAGTTGGTTTACTGTGTATTATGACAAAATAAATGGTCTTTTTTCCCTCACTGACAGAAAGGTTTTGACATCTTCTCTGCTCTCGACGTGATGGATAACAAGAGTTTCCTGGAGAAGCTCAAGTTCAGCATCAGTGACACGAGCCTTCATTATTACCTGTACAACTGGATGTGTCCTGATGTGAGCCCAGACAAGGTGCTGAATATTGCAAGAACTCCCCCTGCCAAGACAAACATCACTGTCATGCTGTGCATTCAAACCCCAAAGCCCTCCACACCATTCCTCTCTGCTGCCAGCTGTTTGCTTTTTTAAGTTTTAATTCACTAACAGGACCGCGCCAAGTTAGAGGTGGTTTATGTGATCATGTTTAGGGAGGGTTTGAGGGGAAAGGGATGAAAAGGGGTCGAGGGGGAAAGGTTGAAAGGGGTCGAGGGAAGGTGGATGAGACAGGGTTGTATCGTGCTACTGAGAATCCGGGGGTTGAGACTCAGGATGAGGACTCGTCTCCGTAGAGGCTCGCTTGTGGAGCAGCTGATGGATCGTCCCCCCGTAGGGGGAGGGAGCTAGATGAGGCCGTATGGAGCCTTTTCTCCTCTTCTTATTGCATAATTCTAATACACATATTAAATTATTGGTTCTTCAAGCAGTTTGTTGAAGTGCAACAAAGTGGCAGGGGCATTTCTTGAAAAACTAAATAACATATCTAGGACTACCTTACCAAACTCACACAGAAATCCTATAAAGAATAAAGTTTGAAAACAGTTTTAGAGAAAGATTAAAATCACTGATTAATCTCGATTCATGATATTCAACCACTTCCTTTTATTGCCACACAATAAAGCAGGTGGCACTTATCTCTTTACAGCTGAAAAATCACTCTGACATTAGCAGCAAACTATGACCTTTACTAAAACTTAAACACAGGTAAAATCCAGAAATACAAAGTGCAGCAGTGCTTTTGAATCAGATGCGTTCTTAACGTCACATGATTGGTGTATTTGATAGCTGCCAGTCATCTGTGATTCATAGTAATGGGTGTATGTTTTACAGGTGGGCTTGGTGATACCCAACTAACCTGCCAGTGAAAGAAGACATAGCGGTGAAGATGAAAGGACTGGAGTGATTGGCAGGACATCAAACTGCATCACCAGCACCAATTTGGGTTTAAAATATAAACTGACAAACTGTTAAACACACACAGAGACACACACATAGGCTACACACTCACAAATCAATGAAAGAAATAAAGATAAATCTTCCATTTGTAAATATATTCATCATCTGGATGTCAGTTTGCTGGGTTCAGCATTTCTGCGATAGGAATAGATTGTTTCTGACATGAAGGAAAATTGAGTAAACAAATTCAAGCAGTTCATAAAATTCACCCTGTACACCATAATACTATTATGTGCATTAGTCTCTGGGTATTTCATCGGGCAATTCAAGCAACCTCTGGTGACATGACATTTAATATTAGTGCCACCAATACACAAATTTGATTGGAGGACGAGATGATTAATCATTTTCACTGAAACAAGTAACAACACAGAAACACATCTAATACATGCCCATCAATTAATTTCCGTGTGCATGCAGCAGCTGCATAATGTCAGGCGTAAATGATCAAATCAAGTTACGCCTCATCTAGACGATATGGATACTATGTTTATGAAAAATGAAAAAAAGCGTGTTTCTACAGGGTTTAACCCCTTACAGACGATTCATAAACAAAGCTACAGTATAGACTGATGGAAAAAAAGCCAAACAGTGATGTTGCTCTCTCAAATTTGAATCTCCATATCTTACCGAAACACTTCATTCTGTCCTTTTATCACCTTTAATGCTGAAGAAGAAAAAAGATGCTAATGAGGATATAATAAGATGCTATTAAGGATACAGTTTCAGCCATTGATTACTACTGCAAGGCACACTACTTAATTGCAAGACAGCATACTATAAAATTCGAGGTACATAAATTTTCTAAGAGCAGCAGGGGGTGCTGCAACCTTAACATGAGCCTTTGTATTGTGAACAACCACATAGGCCCTAGATGCAGACATCACTTGCTTTGTATTTGGTTGTTGGATGTGTAAGAAAATGATGCCCTCAGTACTATCTAAAATATATGAATTATAAGTTTACAGAAACTGTTAGAGCAATATTACAATGATAAACCTCTTTCAGTCTTTTAAAGCATTTACGTTGATGTGCCAAATCTTTCTACTTTAAATCCTGCTATCTGGGCCTCTCCAAAAGCCTCAATGATAAATCTTAGGTGATGGGGTGATGATGGTAATGATGATTCATGGGACTGGAAAAGGGAAAACAATCATTGTTCCGCTGCACAAATTTACCTCATCTTTTTGTGTGAATATTTGATGGTTTTACCCTCTGTGTACCTCTCAATTAATCAGATGAAAGAGGGGTAATAGTTTGCATGTTCTCCCCGTGTCTGCGTGGGTTCTCTCCGGCTTCCTCCCACCGTCCAAAGACATGCGGACTAGGTTAATAGATGACCCTAAAATTTCCTTAGGTGTGAATATGAGCGTGAATCGTTGTTTGTTTATGTGTGGCCCTGCGATACCCTGCCTTTCGCACGATGTCAGCTGGGATTGGCTCCAGCCCCGCGACCCTGTACGCAGGATAAGCGGTTGTGGATGGATGGGTAATAACGCTTTAATCACTCTGTATATATGTCTATGAAGATTCTCAGTCATCCAGGTCTATATACTCTGTATATAGTATGCCTGCCAGATTCCTATCCGTTAAGTAGTGGGCTACTTAACTACGCTTTACAACGTTTCCCTGTGAGGTGTAGGTAGAAGTATAAAGTAGCACATACAACAAATGCTCACGTAAGTACAAAAATCTAAAATATCTAAAAAACTTGCCACTTTCCACTTCTTTCAAACACTTAACATGTCATAAGCGAGGACTCCACAATCAGAGAAGTGGGCGTTTTCCAGAGACACGTGAATGCAACACCGGTTGAGTTTGGGCCAATCAGAAGCGGGAATGCATTTTAAGTTTAAAGTTACCGGACCTGCCAGTAGCTCTCATTGCCTACCGCCTCTGCACCCTGCACGGGCAGGACAGAGCCGTGTCTCCCCTCAGTTTCTGTGGAAGATGAGTACAGAAAGCCAGGCTGTTTTCTAAAGAGAAGTGTCGCTTTATTTCTATTTTTCCTTTCATTGTCGTCAAGGACTCGCTCTTGCCGGTGTCGTCTAATATTACCAGTGACGTGCTGTGGTGTACCTTAGCTTCGTCAGGAACTTTCCAAAACATCAGCGAACGTGCAGTTAAAACTGCACTGCGGTTTCGTCGTATTTAGTTTGAACGTCTGTCTTACAGGGGTCCCGCTGTAATATCTCCGCGGACGCTTGAGAAGATCTCCATAACGGATTGCAGGTATGTTATGTACAGTATGCGCTGGCAATGTTGTAACTTAATGAGTAACGTTACGTTGTTAGAGTGTAACAAACTTACACGCGCTGTTACTCCGGATGACTGGAGGCATTAGCACACACTGTAAGCTTCCTCTAAACGACGTTAAGTACTTGATAGGTGTTTAAGGAAATGCTCGTCTGTAACAGTCAGATTTCGGTAGAAAATGTCACGTTCAAAGGATGTGATGCGTAGTGTTGTGTCATAGGCACAGTCTCACCAGCTGTTATAGCGTTTGCCTGTTTAGTTTCCTTCCTTAATCATCAGCATAAGTTAGTTCTCACGGTGACACTGGGGGGACTGTTTAACCTCGCGCTTGGAAAACTGTAACGTTATTAGCCATTTGTACCGTTTTGTCTATGAAGAGAGCAACACTTAATGCTTACTGAATGTAAGTTACATATCAAGTGGAAGCGAGCTGGTTTTATCCTTTCACCCCCCTCTCTTGCTTTGGACCTGGCAAATTGGTCAGCAGAGACTAGTTCAGGCAAGCTTAGACGGCGTCTTTGCAAACAGTGACATAGAGGAGTGAGCATTTGGGTCTGTGTTCTGCATAACCACCTGTGAAAACAAAGCTGAAATGACATATATGACACTATATACTCTGCTGTGGTGAAAAAGGTCACTAAAGACTAGGTTACTTAAGTAGGAATCAAAGTTTGGAATCAAAGCCACCTTTATCTGTGTCAAACTGAGCTGTGCAAATACTTGCAATCTGGGTCAGGTGTAGCCTGCATTTCTTTCAGCATTCATTTTCCTTAATTTTAACTTTGCCTGGCCTTTATCACATGTCGCCAGGCTGTGAATTCAAATGTTTATGTACCAAATGTAATTTATGTGAGAGATATTACGTTATGTGTAAAAAGTGTGGCCCCCAAAGATTTCACTTAATTACTTATCTTACAGAGAGAGCTATAACTTCTTATAACTACGTGCTGTCAATCATTTCAAGAGTACATGGACTGTTAACTTTTCTCTCAAATGGTGAACAGAATGAAACTTATTCAGCCTCATATCCAAGGGCTATGGTATTTGAGGCGTGCCAGACTGTTATTTTCCCAATCTACTGTATCTCATTGGCCTGTGTCACAACAGGTTTCCCAAGACCTTCCTCAGCCAGCTGGAGTTGAGCAAGACAGAAGAAGAAAACTGATGCATGCCCCGATAAGATGTGCTTAGTGTCTGTGTGTCAAGCACTGAGCAGGATAGCACATGTTTGTGTTCCTCTTTAGCTCATTAATAACAGAGCATGCTGCTTTGTGTTACCATTGTTGTGTTTGGAGCAGTCGCCACCGAGCAATATGCATCCTGCGCAGAGCAGCTGGAGCAGAATGTTTCCGAGCTCTTGACATGCTTTATAGTTCTTTCCCACCTGCATAAATCTGCTGCTCTTTATCTGCCTCTTCTTTGGACCAGAACACGTTGGGTGGTTGTTGTTGTTATTATCATTCACCTGAACAGCTCATGTCAGCATGGGGGTGACGTCCTGGCGTCGCGTTGCCCCTGCAGAGATCTTGTTACCCAACACTTGTGAGAGGACTTTTTGGAGGGGAGCGCGCTGTGGATGAGCAGCTCTTGCTGCAGAGACTTGTCTTTGTTCGACACTGGAACATCATCAACTTGTTTTTCATTGGGTTTTTTCTTCAGAGCAAGTTGTAATGAGTGCAAATGTGGATCAAGTTTCAATTCCTGCAACACTAGAATTACAAGAAAGCAAGTGCAAGGAGTGTAAAAGAAAATCCCCTTTGGCCTAGAATGATCATTGCTCAGAGCAGTTTGAGATAAAGAAGTAATAGCTTAGGCAAAAAAGCAATCACTTAAAATATCAGTAATCAGTAAAATATCATTTTCCCTTCAGCACTGAATGACTTTACCCTAAAACACTGGCACTTAAGCATTGCCTTGTTGTTTTTGGCTTCTGTGAGGAGTTTATCTCGTCCTTAACCTTCAGATCAGTTAATTCTCTCTCAATGGGCATTTACTATGTAAGCTCTGTGACTGTTTTGCCAGCCTTCTATCATGAAGTTGAGTGAGATTTAGTTTGGGGCACTGAGTGAATGTACCTCGCACAGAGTTGTTTAGCGGAAAAGTAATTAAGTAGTTAAATTAGCATTGTAAATTAGATTTAAATGGGTAATAAGTTTATTTTATAACAAGACTCTTATCTCTACATAAGCCATGGAGAATTTTTACACAAAGTAAGGAAGCATTGATGTATTATAGTACATGTTGTTACACATGGTGATGCAAGATGTAATCTTTATTGAGCGTTTTCAGTCTTAAACTTCACCTGCAAGTGTTACTTAACAGTTAAGTAACATACTACAGCTGAACTGCAAAACATGGCTGCAAAAAAGTCAGGCACTAGATCCACCCACTCAACCCAATGTCTCTAGTCTCTCTAGGTCGGACTATCCTCTCTCGTAAGCTCTCGGAAGAGTTTGATGCTGCACAGCCAAGAAGTTCAGAAGTACAAATATTTATATAAAGCAGAGGAGATATGACAGTGTGAGCAATGGGAACTCCATAGGGAAAAGTGCTAGGGGTTACCCTCAGGCTAATCTCCACTAAGACATATTTATAAACGTAGCTAGCAGTTAGAGTGGACCGCTTCCAGCTTTGTCACCAAGACGCTAACTGTATTTGGTCAGCAACTGCACAGCCATGGCCCACTTCAATGACGTCTTTAACTAGTGTAATATTTGCATGGCACATAAACATATGGTTATACCTCAGACTTTCATTTGATTTGCGTGGACATAATATTTTCCATGTGCTGGGGAAGCACAAGGCCTCTCTCCATACTTCATTTCACTTTGTTTTAGCTCACTGCCAGAGCAGATCATTCATTTGACACCGTCGTCAACTTGAAATAAAGCCTTTAGAATAAAACATCAAAGAGTGTTTTGAATCCACGTTCAAAATGAGTGAGTTTATGGACAACTTTTTCTGTCGATATCAACCAGGGTTTTATTGGCCTTGTCTCCATGTGAGTGACATATGTTGCCATGAAAGATCTGTTAATAAAACAGACAAATGTGTGTTTGTAAGCCATATTTAGGGATACAGTCAAAGCATTGTGTTTAAACACAGCAACACTGTTAATGGTAACTAAAAAGGGGAACAAAGGGGACATGTTTGCAGAGAGTATTTAAATTATACTGCTCTCATTCTGCTCATTCTTAGTTTTATTGTCAGTAAATCATACTCTATATTGTACTAACATTTCAAACATGTTTCTGCTACAGGGGCATATGTTAGCCTCACAGAGATTAAGGCTGAATCAATGTGAATATATGTTTATGAGAGTGGTTAGTAGATTTTTCACATTTAAAGGGGACATTTCATCTGCCACCTGCAACAGCAATCACAAAACATAATTTTAACTAACTGGAAAATGCACTTTTTCGCTTTCTTGCCAAGAGTTAGATGAGAAGATTGATACCACTCTAATGTTTGTACGCTCAGCAAAAAGACTAAAAACCGGGAAACGGCTAGCCTGGGTCTGTCCAGAGGTAACCTACTGCAAGTCCACCTACCAGCACCTCTGAAGCTCAGTAATTAATATGATGTAGCTTGTTTGCTTAAAATGTAAAAAAAACGAAGTGTAAAAACAATAAGTTGTGTATTAATAGAGGGTTTATGTCGGGACTATTTCTTTGCCAGGAACAGTGACTCACTGGTTTCCACACAATCAGCAGAGACTTTGGCTGGTTATGGCCAAGAAATTCTCTGGCACAAAACTCCCCAGAAAACCAAACATAACATTTTGTATGGATTAAACAAATAAGATGTAACGTGTTAATTAATGAGGTTCTGGTAGGCAGATTTTGTTACCTTTAGACAGAGCCATGTGAGCTGTTCCCCCTTGCCGCCAGCCTTTATGCTAAGCTAAGCTAACCGGCTACTGGCTTCATATCTACCATACGGACATGATAGTGTCCTCAAAAGTCTCATCCAACCCTTGGCAAGAAAGAGATTAAATGATTGTTGATATTTGAACTGAATTGCCAAACAAATAAACCCCTCCCTTCAGTGCTCCCTCAGAAGCTCCGCCCCTCAGCCAAGAGAGCCTAAGTCCCTCGCTTCTGTATGGCAGTCAACGGCGAAATACAACTTTTTTTTTTCCCCTTTGAATTGTGCCCTGAATTACACATATTTTTGTCAAAAGAATTTTGTCCGTCGAGAAAGTTGCAGCTTGTCGTAAAAAAGTAAAATAACATTTAGTTTTTGTGAAAACCATTCAATGAACTACATCTCTCGTCTAGCACAATATGTCACCAGCGTGTTAACGCAGTAATGCTGGCTAGCGTTTATTGCTTGGTTTGTACTAGCTAGGTTACTTGGCTATGTTCCATGCAGAAATGTATCTCACCTGATGTGTTAAAATCCAACGACACCTGTAAGTTCTTTGACGTTAGCTTCAGTACCATTAGCTCCAGTCATTGAGAGAAAAAGTTATGACGTCACATATGCAACTTATGGGTTTCTGGTCTTTGTAATTATGTATTTTCAGTCTTGAACAGTATTACAACAATCTTCGACTTTCTTGACTTTCAAATACTTTAAATTGACAAACATCATATGTGTACGTTCAAATGTGCCGGTGTATAGAACTCTCTCTTCCTCTGCTCCCCATCTCTCCTGTGTATGAGCACTAACTGTTGCTGACAATGGAACAATGTAGTGTGGCAAGGTCCACACCACTTCGTTTGTTTTCCATTTACAGAGCCACAGCTGTGTAGAAAAACACACAAAACAAAGAGCTAGCAAACCATGAGGAAATATTTGCTGAATTTAACAAAAAGTGTATTTGAATACAATCACTTACTATCCCTTAAAGCATACTTCACACTATTCCTTTGAGGCTGACAAACCCAGTGCCAATGCATATTTGTTTGTCCATTCCATATTTGTTTTTCCATTCTTGCAATATCAATTCCTGTTTACCTATTTAAGCTAAA